TATGTATGTATTTAAAAATATATAAGTATGTTTATCAGCAGTCTGGCTACCATAGTACAGGCTCTGCCTAGTTTGGGACCAGACGACCATGTGTGAGATAGGTATGTAAAAATATATTATTATTATTATTATTTTATTACACTTTTTATTTTATAATATGCAACTAACACGATGATACTTTCTATATTCCACATCCGCATCGATCTATTTTAGACCAGTAACTAGTTTTTTTTAAATTTAATTACCTCCAATTATCCAACACGCATAAGTGTTACAATTTAATTATTTAGTCTCATCTTAATACTAATTATGAATATAAATAATTTTAAATTATTACAGTTCCTGCTTAGGCGATTAATTTAAATGTAGACTCGAGCTTTATGGTAAAGCCGTCAGTAACACAACGAGAATGAAAGAATAAAATGGTCTTGAATCTAATCTTGAATACAAGATGGCAGCGATTCGTTTTAAGAATTCTTGCTACAACACTGACGTTATAGCCCTGATGCTTAAACGTATACTTTTTATTGAATAAACAAGTAATTATTTAAAAAATCCAAAACCCGACGGCAAAAGGACAATTTAAAAGTATTTCACTAACAAGACCTAAACAGCACGAGGTAAGACACAAACATGGCCATTGTTTACGCTTTCAAAAACTTTTTAAACCAATTTATGATATGTTTTTTAATTTAAATATATAACATATACATATATATCTGTAATCCCCTTTTAATTTTATTGATTTTGCTACAATCAAGATAGGTTTGTTTATTTTTTTTATTAATCTATCACTATTTTGCGTCGAAAAGCCGCCATATTGATTTTTCTTCCAAAAAGTCATCTAGGAACACTTGGAATTTTGAGACAGATAAAACAATACTTTAACTGTCGAAGTTGAACTTGGAAGAGACGAGGTAATAAAGAAATTTATAAGATACGCGATCCTAAGCAGTCGGGTAAAAAAGGAACACAAACCATCAAACATTCGTATTATACTTACCAAAAAATCACTCTTTTTCTGATAGCCAAAATATAAGTCATGGTTTTTTTTTTGGAAACAGTGGAACAGAGAACCTTTTTCGTTTTGAAGTCGATTAAAAAACTAGGATTGTTGCCAGTGTAAAAAATATTTATGACTGACAATTTAGCGACCAGTCAAATGATCAAACATAAAACCATATCGTAATAAAATTTATTGATGTATCGGTGTGGTTTTCAATATTTATACTAAAAATTTAAAGTTAAAGAGTTTGTTTGTTTGGCTGAACGCGCTATTCTTTTAGTGTTGGATAGTCCATTTCAGTGATAGAATACAATCACTGTTGTAATCATATGATTTATAGAGATAATTACAACTGTGACTAATTTCCAAAACCACTACGACTAATTACGATTGCGCTAGCGACAGAAAAAAGTTGTGTCTTTGATAAAATAGTTTGGGTTTTCTTTTTGATGGCATTTATCTTTGTCTATAACCAAATCTCAGTAGTATTTTAAAGATTCAGAAAATCTCAGATTTATCACAGCTGAAGTGACTGATGAATGATTTATCGCAGTGACTTGTAACAATCATTTCAACATATGATTATTATTTAAACGTAGCAATAAGTTCCATCACTAGTCAATTTATCGAGGCAATCTATAGGACCAGAAGTCGAGCATCAATGGAAAATATATTTTGTTATTTTTACCCGACTGCACCAAAAGGGGAGGTAATGGTTTTCAAGTGTATGTATGTGTGTATAATAGTCTAAATTGCTTGATGGATTTTGGCGTTTTAGGTGAGGTGTGACACTGTGTACATGAAAATTATAAAAAAAATGCCCTGTTTTTAAATACCTATACACATTCACGCGATCGAGTTTTTTATCCTACATCTTACTATGCCTCTTCCAAATTCAAATAGGAAGTACTTTTTACGCGAGCAGAGCCCCAGAAGCTAGTATCTTATAAATTTCGGTCGTAAAGCTAAATAAAGCGAACCAAAATTTATCCGATGACCGTTTAAATATTAACAACTTAATTTTTTATGATCTAAATCGATGGATTTTACGATTTTTGAATTATATTAAGTCGTCAAACACCATTTATGTAAGTTATTAATATCAGCAACGCTACTAGAAACAGTAGCATGGCAACACCGTAAAATATTAACATTTTTATAAGTAGCAACGTGTTTATACAATCAGACCTTTTTGGTCAAGCTTACAAATTGTAAGAATTCTATATTTAAAAAGATTTATTGCCACTACAAAAAAAACATTATAGGCATTTAAATGTAAGCTAATGTATACCCACAAGGACAGAGTCAAGTTTTATAAATCCAGGTTATTTATTTTTTTATTTTTGCTACCGACGACAAATATTTGTCTGGGTGTATCTATAATATGTATGTATTTAGAAATATATAAGTACGTTTATCAACAGACTGGTTACAATAGCACAGGCTCTGCCTAGTTTGGGATCAGACAGCCGTGTGTGAGATGTGTGAGGTTATTATTATCTATTGCGTTATATTATAAAATGAGAACAACACTTATCTTTATTCTTCCGCCGGATCTGCACATTCGAGGCCACGTTCCGATCCGGTTGTAATATTTGTATTACATAAAACACGAGTATAAATATTCAATAAATTAGACAGACCGAATTACAGATGCCTTTGCTTTGTAGACTATAACAATAAGTAATTTTTGGTTTTTACCATAGACTTCGTGTCTTCAAACACCGCAACACAGTCACAAAGCATTCTCTATTTAAAATTACCTTTTGTCAGTTAGATTTACGCTCTAGTAATAATGTTTTTTTATATGTTAAAAGCAAAGGTATTCATTATAAGGCCACATACTTTACTTTTTAACTTTTCCTAAAAGAAAGACAGACCTTCATGCGTAAAATGTTTTAAATTTTATATCTAGGCACGTCTCTTCGTTAAAAGAAGTCACAGACGCTGAAAGAATAACGTCTATTTATTTTTATTGTGTGAAACCTTTATCTTATGCTTTTGAAGAAACATATTTAGGGTATCGAATTTAGGAACCATCTAACTTCAAAATTCTAAAAATAAAATCTTTACTAAACGCGATACTAAAGCGCCGTCAGCCGAAAATAATTAATGTGGGTGTAATTTTCAACACATATTTATAAGCTGTGTAGACATAATAGAAATTAACCTTGTTATTTAAATTGAAAATACCACATAAATATAACACGTATTTATTATCAAAAGAAACAATATAGATAATAGAAATTAAAACTATATTTCGCATTTACAAATCACAAAAGACCACTGTTCAAAAGCCCCAGTTTCTTAATTCAAAATTTTATACTTCCGAAAATCGAATACCAAAACATGTATAATCTGTACCAAAAAAGGTTTGGATTGAAAACAAAATGTCAATGTGAACTCAACTACAAATTTTAGCGCTATTTTACCAATATTATGCAACTGTGAACCTTAACGACATGCCTAATATTATTCGAAGCACGTATCGAGCATTCTTGAAACACGTAAAAGGTTAAGTCACAGTTTGAAATTGTTATGTACATACATAGAGGTCACATGGTGCAACGGCGCTGTGCAGGCTCCATCTTGGTTGCTTGTGCCTAGCATAAATCATCCGCCTCCAGGACATGACCCATATATTTCCATAGAATATCTTACTGCATGAGTGGACCCCATCAGGGTCTGACTAATCGTGAAAATCATCATCTGTGCGTCCATTGCAAGAGGTTTTTGTTGTTCTTTATATCGCCGCCTCTGTGATATAAACCCTCTCGGGCCCTAAGAGTGATAAAAATGACAGGAGGTTGTCAATATAGATTTACGCTGTCATAGATTCCCAACATTTTATTGTTACGAGTTTCAGTTTTAATAAATACATGGTACTTTAACCTGTATTTAATTACCTGATCTAGTATCTACGAGTCTTGATGCTCAACTCATTCAGTACTCGTGTTATAAGCTTAGGGCCATTGGGCTTCTAATATCTAGTCTGTTTTACAGCCATAAAAAAACTTTAAGACATATTTTTAAAAGATTATGCTATATGTGTATTCAATTATTCTATTCTAACTTATATCTTTAAGTACTTAAAGTTTAAAATAGTTAACCCATCTAGTTTAAACTGGGGTACTTCATCGCTGTCATAATGACATGACGAAGACACGTTAAAATTCAATTTTAGAATTTGAAAATATTTTTCTTTTGTTTTGAAACTCGGGATTTTGAACTGCAGCTGAATAAGAATTATCTGTACACAATAACTATAGTTTCGTAAAAACTAAAAAAAAACACTCTTCAATGATAAACCGAAAAGATAAACAGAATTCCACTATGCACCTTCGGGCTTCATCATCAGACGAAGCTCATATAATTACCAAGCTCAATCTGTTCCACGCCTACGAATCATGAGCTAAAACTTATGATTTATGAGGAACTACTGGTCCTGTATGCACCTCCATCATCAGACCAACTTAAAGATTCTAAATTATAGTAATATCAGCCGAATTATATATAAGTACAGTTTTTTTTTATGTATGACAATTAGAAGTATATTACAATTCACTCGAGTATTCTTGTCTCTCTCTTTAAGAGCCAAAAAAAGTAGGACGATGATATTATTAGTATTGGAATTGCCATGTTTTAGGGTATTACCGTCCATATCGCTTTGGTCAGGCTGAACAGTGGTAAAAAAAGGGATCGGCGTTACAGTAGTCGCATGTGATGCTTAACATCTGACATCTAGTTCAGTACGCGCTCATTTGTCTATTGATAAGCGCGCGCTTTCCGTTTCTTAAAAAAGGAACGAAAACGTGTAACAGGAAGTTGTTACATATTTCCGTCCCTTTTCATGAAAATTGATACACACGACCTACAGACGCAAGATAGAGCGAGATAAGGTGTTATATACCTGGTCTTACACTATGGTAAAAAAATTAAGGCTATGGGCATTTCAAGAGTGATGTTTTGTGGTCTGGTAACACTATAACTTCAGTTAATCTTGATCGTCCATTGGATAAAACATGCTGAATATTCTTAAAGACTTAGGGTGCTCCTAGAATGGAAGAGGAGTATAGAATGAATATTTATATATGGAACGTTTGGTCCCCATTAAATTTGGATGGGACCAAACTACCCTGCCAAGTAAGAAAAAGAATACCTATCGTAATTACCAGTAAGAATAATTATATATTATGGTACGCGACAGATTCCAAGTTGTTATATTTAAAAAAATATATAAATACTTATATACGAGTATTAATAATTTTGTATTAAACTAAATCAACAAACTACCTACGTAACGGACATAATCCTTGTGTATACAAAATCGCACAACAAATATCGAATCGAACTCGATTGGTAAATGGAACAATAAAGATCGGACAATCGTCACGGTTCGATTAGATCGTTGTATACAGCTCGATTACCGATTACAATTAATTCGAAACTTTAATTGAAGATATGTAATAAAACTTGGCATTTGGTTAATACGCGCTCCGGTACCCAAAGGCCTTTTAGAGGAATGGAACACCGTGGTTTCCACACACAAGGTTTCATCTGCAAGCCGGGGCTGGTCGGGATATTACCACCTCACCGTAGGTGGTTGGTATCCGACAGAATTTCCGCACGAAAAAAAAAGGTTTAGTTAATTAAACTACATTTTTATTATCTAAGCAAAGAGTATGAAATTATGTGAGGAATAACACTGCTGTATTTTTCAAGTACAATCTGTACTACAATTCTAAAGTTAAATAATACAAAATCAAGAAAAATACTGATAATAAACACCATCTACATTATATCAAATTAATATTTCAAAATGATCTATACTGATCTGTCAAAAGATGTCAGATATACATTGTTTATATGTCTATATTAAATTTTACCCGCTACGAATATTAAAGATAGAAAAAGAGGTTTTAAATTCGTAACTAGGCTATTTACGAAGAGTTAGAAATAAGTGGACCTGTAAATACCGACGTGCAGAAAGCGGGGTCGAGGTGTAAGCGGGAGGGGGGATGGTGCATTCCTGATCATCCTGTAAAGTCAACGATATTTATGTACCAACTAAATTCTGTTTAAATATTGTATGACTCACCTGCATTTTGTTTAGTATGTGAGACAAGGAGTATTTTATAGTCTGTTGAATTCTCTTTTGATATTTCGGCGAATTCACTTAGATAATATCACTTAAGGACTTGATTAAGTTTATCGAATTTTCAACATTATAATTTCTTTTTAAATAGTTAAAAAGACTTTAAAAGAAGTTGAACCGACTTCAAACAAAATGCGGGACGATTTCGGAGAATTCGTCGTCCGAACAGACACAGGCCCGAGAAGCAGCGCACAGAGATCCGTGTGCGCTTCTAGAGGACTGCGACCGAAGGGAACACCGAGGTGGTTTTTAGTCGGTAAGAGTCCGAAGTGGGCGAAGGACATCCATGAGGATCTTCCACCCCGTTAACAAAAAAATCTTTAATATATTTCAACCGAAATGAGAGACTGATTATTTTGAAGTCGGTTGTTTCTTCAATCGTTAAATACAATTTTTTATGCATATTTTCGCATTGATACATTACTATCTATACTAATATTATAAAGCTGGAGGGCTTGTTTCTTTTTCTTTATTTTTCTTTCTTTTCTTTTTAAAAATACAACTCCCGCACTAGGAATAAATCCTGTGTCGCGGGGGACTTTACAACATAACAAGAACACCAAGACTCAGAACAACAATTTTTGGATCACACAAAGTGTCGTCCCATGTGGGGAATGGACCCACAATACTCAGCGTAGTAGTAAGCGGCGTGGCGACCGCTTAAACCACTACGCCATCCGTGCAGTCAAAAAAAGTGTTTTAACACGCTAATCTAGGAAGTACTGGTTCGAATTGACAAATTCTTTTAGTGTTGGATAGCCTATCGAGGAAGGCTATATAACATCACGCTACCACCAATAAGAGTTGAGTATCAATGAAAATGTTTTAAAAAAATAAAAAAATAAAAAAAAGAGAAGCAGATTCAGGTCAGTTCCATCCACAGCCTTTACTAGTCCACTGCTGGACATAGGCCTCTCCTTAGAAAGGAGGTTTTGGCCTACTATACCACGCTGGCCAGACGGGTTGGTACAGGGTTTGTTTCAAGTTTTCCTTCTCTTTGCAGTGCTGTTGTCCTGCGTAGTTTGCTCCCTTAGTCGGTTCTTACGACAGGTCAGTTACTAACAAATATATCCGAAATACATATTCGAATATGTTTCAAACTCAGACTCCATACACATAGAGTTAACACACAAGTGGTTATAGATATCTGTTTATCATGATACAACAAAAATGCGTGATACCCGTGAAAGCATAAATCCTTGTACTATCTGAACAGAAGATTATATTATCACATGTTTAGGTCATGCTTTAGAGCGATGCAAAATCCTATCGAGGTTAGAACCATGGTAGAACCGTACTTCGGCACATTATGACCGACCGGTGATACCAGTCTTACAGAAATCGGTGTTTCTTTTTTTATGTCGCAGTGGCAAACGAGCAGACGGGTCACCTGATGGAAAGTGAGCATCGCCCACATGAACGTCTGCGACTCAGGATTCACAAACGCGTTGCTGGGCTTTTAGGAAGGAGAACGCTCTTTTCTTGAAGGTTTGAAGGTCGTATCTGTCCGGAAATACCGCAGACGACAACCCGGAACAAGTGTCTCGAAAAGCGCACAGTAGTGGAGCGCCATCCAGGTAATGAGGATAAAAATTTTGCCGTTGAACAATGCACTAGTTGCTTTTCAGAGGGTGAGGTTCCCGAAGGTCCAAACTAGGGATGGAATAAAATCACAATCACATGTGATAATACTTCACTCCTGTGACTGATTTACAAAACCACTGCGACTTAATTATTATTATTACGCTAGAGCAAGACTCGGTAATCTTCGATCGAATCTAAAAAGAATTTTGTTTTTAACGCCATTTATCTGGGTCTGTGACGAAATCACAATCACATGTGATATCGCTGTGACCAGAACAAATCATTTCTTCAAGAGAATATGATTTAAAAGTGGCAATAATTTCCGTGTCCAGTCCAAACTCTCCAGAACTCTGGGGAACAGTGGTATTCAAATTGCGGTAACGTAGTTACGTCTCTCAAGTTGCGGGTTTCCATTGACGCAGGTGTGTGTAGACTACCTAGTTACTTCGTCAGCTCGTTTAAAAATAACTACCAATTTAATCGCCAAAATTGACGAAACTATTTCGTATCCTGCTACCACGGACAGGATAAAATCGTTTTAAGAAGTATCGTGACGTAGGCGACGTTCTACCACTAAAGATAATAAATATCAATATCGGTATCATGCGTTATCAGTGTATACTGAATACAATAACAAATAAACTAAACTGCCTGAGTGCCAAACGAAACGACACGAATTTAATTCGTCGTGACACAACGAAAATCCGTGTGGTGACGGATTAAGAATACGGAGTGTCACCACTTGTATTCATCAAGGTATCGTAAGAGGCGACTAAGGGAGCAAACTACGCAGGACAACAGCACTGCAAAGAGAAGGAAAACTTGACAAACGTTATACAAACCCGTTTGGCCAGCGTCGTATAGTAGGCCAAAACCTCTTTTCTAAGGAGAGGCCTATGTCCATAAGTGGACTGCTAAAGGCTGTTGATGAGAAATTCGTAGTTTTTCATGAATCCATATTCGTATCGTGAAACTATTTTGAATTGCGGTACGATACAAAATCGTATCATCTTTATGATGTGACGACGGCGACAGCCGCTGTCTAATTTTCGCCATTTGTAAAAAACCAATATACCTAATTGAACGTGGAATTCAATTCGATTCAAGTCTCACATGCAGTTTAAAGTCAATTGCTCGTGGAAAACAAGTTCGAATTTTGAAAATTAAAAAAAGAACATCTTTTTTTCAATGTTTGTCGCACTTGCACATGCACACATTTTTAACAATCAAAAGTTTTTTTTATTTTTCTTTTTTGAACAGATACATAGTTTTTAGGGCGTACAACTCGCAAGCCATATACCTAACTAATTAAGTCCTAAAGAGAATGCATCATTTGTGTGTTGTGTTTCATTCATTCTAGAAATTAAATTACCGTGAATTGGAATGCAATCTTACGTCTTTTCTGATTACTGCATCATCGTTGCATCAAATGGCTTTTTATGGTGAAACCATCAGATATAGCGTAACTATTTTGATTACTTTATCGTAATATAAAGTACATAAGGAGAATGACGATTGTCTTTTAGTAAAATAAAATCCTATATTATACTTAAGACTAAACTAAAACCAAAAAGTCGACTAAAGTATGTAAAATATTTCAACGATGATTTTTTCACATCTCTTATTAACGGATGATAATCGATTTTAAGGCCAGATTCACATTCGGTTCTAAATTTGAAAAAAAAAGTCATTCGTATGTATCTGGTAAAGAAGGTTTTTTGTTCCAGTTTTGTTTATGAAACTTTTTTTAAAACATACTCTTTCTTGGGTCAACAACATTCTTAAAAAATCATAAAATGTTTTATGACTTTTTCAGAGAGAATTTTGATGAGCGTGAGATTTGTCAGTTTTAAAAAAGGATTCAGGCTCTTAGCTCTTCTTAAAACAATAATTAATTAGAAATCTGAAAACTAAAATAATTGTATAATTGTACTATTATGATAAAAATAAATACCATGTAATGGCAACTGGAAAAAACCATTTATTGTTATGAAAAAAATTAAAACCCCTCAGAATAAAAAACAGTGGCCATCTATAAAACTTCTAAGAGACATATTGAAATGCTATCACGGCCTCTTCTTTGGGAAATTAGTAAAAAAATGTTGTCAATGGCGTTACAGCAAATAAATAGATATAAACCTTAAAATAAAATAAATGTTTGAAACTCACCGGCGTCCTTCGGTGCATGAGCGTGCCAACGGGGCTTGGTATCTTTGTCGGAGTACCCGCATGGGGGGTGCGAGCTGAAACAAATAGTCAATGATAACTGATGATGCGGGTTATTTCTTTTTAAATTTCTATTACAGATAATGTCATCAGGAAGTCCACAAACCGCCTTACATTCAAGACGAGAACGCCATCTTCTTCGGAAGGACTTAACAGAACGGTCACAACAATACTTGAACTATATGACCTATAAAATGTATGCATGTGTTTGTTTATATATTGTGTATACTTCTGGTTTTCTATGTGTATTAATCATATCCAAAGTAAGTTTATCTTTTATTAACCAAATTATTTTACACAACTAACTGTACCCTACCACGTTTCGCTGTGGTACATTGTTTGTAAAAAGACAACTAGGAAAAAATCCTGTATCGCGGGCGACTTTACAAACATACATTAAACGGACACAAAGAACACCCAGACTCAGAACAACAATTTGTGTCTGTGTTCTTGTGTATGAACCCACAACACTCGACGTAGTAGGAAGCGGTGTGGCGACCGCTTAAACCACTACGCCATCTGTGCAGTCAAAATAATTATAACCTCACTAATGTAAATATAATAAATAATTGCAGTAAATAACTAATTAACTTATATTCTATAATGATAATGAATCTCATAATGATAACGTACTCTTGGCGTGGTCAACATACAAACTGAAAGGATTTTTTTTTAATATTTAACTCCATATATAATTACTGTAATAATGTACTTATAATCGTTTAAAATATCATAATAATTAAAATAGAAACATCTTTAATTTGTTTACCAAAGATCAATTAGTTTTGTTTTCAAGTTACACATATTTAAGTTAACGACATTCATTCCAAAAAAAAATTCACAATCCCAAATCGATAACGCGATAACAGCCAAAAGATCGCCGATCTGCTCGATCCCTTGGCGTTATGTAGAGATATATAGCTATCAGTCAAATATAATTCATATAAAGCAGACACTCTGATATTGTCATAAGTTGCCATTAGATGAGATTTAAGGTTTTTGTTATATATATGTTATATTTTTTTACTACAATACGTCTTAAAATTAAGTAAATTACGGTAGTCGTAACATCATTTTCATCATCATCAACAGCCTTTAATAGTCCACTGCTGGACATAGGCTTCTCCTTAGAAAGGAGGTTTTGGCCTACTATACCACGCTGGCCAGATGGCTTGGTATAGGGCTTGTGTCAAGTTTTCCTTCTCTTTGCAGTGCAGTGCAGCTTATGCTGCATAGTTTGCTTCTTTAGTCGGCTCTTACGACACCCACGGGATGAATTGGGGTAGTGACATTCCGTATTTTTAATCCGTCACTATTGTTGCGTTGTAACATGAGATGCGTTGACCGCCCATAATCAATAAAAGAGTTTTTAATGGCATGCTTATTGGTTTAAGAATTCATGACCTGATAACGGTTTGTTTCAAGTTTAATTTAAAATACAATAACTAACGATTCAGCTGTTTCCGAGCTGAGTCCAAACAAACAGATTACCGTAGCCGTCAAAAGATCCAGCTCAAATATTTTTACCAGCACAGAGAACAAACTAATAATGATTCTTTTGAAGTCTATATTTATTTAGATTTTTTAAACTTTGAGCGTGGCTGTGTGAAGCTTTGTTTTTCTGACGATCGATGTGTGAACTTATTAGACAAGAGTAAAATGGTAGAAAAAGAAAATAGAAGACCAACAGTATGTTTGAGTCTTTTGCGATTATTTTTACAAACTAATGCTTATGAAATCTAAACAGATCATTACTGTGGTTACGGATTAAGACGGTGTGGTGTCGTAAGAGCCGACACAAGCCGTAACAAACTACGCAGGACAATAGCACTGAAAAGAAAAGGACAAACTTGAAACAAACCATATACCGACCCGTCTAGCCAGCGTGGTGTAGTAGGCCAAAACCTTCTTTCTAAGGAAGGAGACGCTTATGTCCAGCAGTGGACCATTTAGGGTTGTTGATGAAATACCGAGTATGAAAGGTCAATGTAACTTAACCACAGTGTTAATGTGTCATGATTGGTCTACGCCCTTACGACGACGCGTCGTTAGGGTTCAATGAACGCCCATTTATTTAGCCAGCAGATGAGTTTATTCCTGTTTCTATAATCATAGACATTACCTTATTATTTCTAATCGTATTGGCATTATTCATCAGTCATCAGAGTGAACTGAATAATATGTTTTTAAATTAAGAACAAGATGCAGTTCTTCTTTTTTTCAATCACTTGAGGCAACATTACGCGGAAGGCCAATCCTCGAAATAAAAAGGTATTCCCGTAGTAGTGTTACTAAGACTAGCAGGTTACCGATTCAATTTAACGTTTCAATACGATCTATACTAATATTATAAAGCTGAAGAGTTTGTTTGTTTGTTTGTTTGAACGCGCTAATCTCAGGAACTACTGGTCCGATTTGAAAAATTATTTCAGTGTTAGATAGCCCATTTATCGAGGAAGGCTATAGGCTATATATCATCACGCTAAGACCAATAGGAACGGACCACCAATGAAGAATGTTTCAAAAACGGAGAAAATTTATTACTATTGAGAGACGCAGACGAAGTTGCGCGGGTCAGCTAGTACGATATAAAACCATTACAATCAACGTTAAATCTTTAATACTTTACTACGAATATAACTTTTATGACAGTTGTGAAATCGAAATGTGATCGAAACTGAATTTATTACGAGAATTGGCCTTCTGATCCCAAACTGGGTATAGCCTATTTTCGACCGGCCTATTGTTCTAGTGGTTAGAGATGCTAACTCCTAAGCCGAGGGTTCGATTCCCACCCGGGACAATAATTGTGTGATGAGCATACTGATTTGTTCTGTGTCTCTGTGTTATTTATGAATAATATGTATGTATTTTTTTTTAATATACCTCACACATTTCACACACGGCCGTCTGATCCCAAATTAGGCAGAGCCTGTGCTATGGTGACCAGACTGCTGATAAACATACTTATATATTTTTAAATACATACATATTATAGATAAATTACACCCAGACACAGAACAAATGATCATGCTCATCACATAATATTTGTCCTTGGTGGGAATCGAACCCACGACCTCCGGCTTAGCAGTCAGGGGCACTAACCACTCGACCAACAGGCCCGTCAATATTATTGTTACCATAGCACAGGCTCGGCCTAGTTTGGGATCAGACGGCTGCGTGTGAGATGTTTGCAGTTGTTATTATTAATCTATACTAATATTATAAAGCTGAAGAGTTTGTTTGTTTGTTTGAACGCGCTAATCTCAGGAACTACTGGTCCGATTTAAAAAATCTTTTAGTGTTAGATAGCCCATTTATCGAGGAAGGCTATAGGCTATATATCATCACGCTAAGACCAATAGGAGCGGAGCACCAATGAAGAATGTTTCAAAAACGGAGAAAATTTATTACTATTGAGAGACGCAGACGAAGTTGCGCGGGTCAGCTAGTTATCCATATATACAGATTTACCTAATGCTGTACGGTACAAACATTGACTCATAACCTGTCCTTGTACGATGATATCACAGTGACATATAATGCGTCATACTTTTAACACACTTTTTGTACGTTTTGGTTAAATCAATGTACCTTAAAGCAGTACACCAATCCAGTTAAAACCGATCACTGGTTTTTTTTTTGAATACAGGTAGTATTGCACTGTACGGATGTGCGAAGTGGTTCAAAATCAAAAATCAAAATCATTTATTATTTGCATAAAACAGGTATAAAGGTGGTAGAAGATACATCATATAATACATGGGTACGCTGTAATATAACCTCTTAAAGGTGTGCAAATATTTAGACATAGATATTTAAAAGATTATTATTTAGACGTTCAACATTACAAATACAATTTGAAGAATATATTCATATCATAAATTTATTCAGAGAATTAATAATGTCAAGTGTATTATGAATGTTATTAAGTCAGATCAATATAATAAAACCAACCAATAATAATCAAATATGTAGTCAAAATAATAAAAATAAATAAAAATGTCACATTGTCATGTTCAACATAAATTAAATAACAATGAACGAAATTAATTTGATTTACAATTTGTCTTGCAGAAAATCATTTAAATTATAATAGCATTTTTGGCTCAGATTTTTTTTTAATGTCTGTTTAAAGATAGTCGGATTTTCAAGCGGTCACCTCGATGCTTCCTACTGCGCTGAGTGATGTGGATTCGATCCCCACATGGGATAAAACTGTGTGGTCAACAAATTGTCGTTCTGTGTCTGTTTATGTAAATACATAAAGAACATTTTAATTAGCAATGGTTTTTTTTACCTAACTGCGCCAGAAACATGTTTTTTCGAGTGTGTGTTTGTATGTTTGTTAAGGCACGCTTTGTAACCTAAACGGCTAGATTGCTTTTGGCGTTTGAGGTGTCGTTAGAATCCTCTTAATTGTATGAATGACACTTAGTCTGTAAAATAAAATAAAAATATCGAGCCAACGACCAAACCCACGACCTTTGATTAAGTAATTAGAATCAGTAACCACGGAACCTACAAATCAGTTAATTAAATTAGTAATTAACTAGTTTTTTAAATAATAGTTCTGTGTGTTATTACACATATAAAGTAGCAAACAAGTTTACGGCTCGTTAAGGAAACTAGTTTAACCGTAAACTATAAGGATTTATAAAAGCAAGTTAAGAAAATTACGTTACGTCAAAACCTATTTTCAAAAAACAAATTGTAGAGTCAGAAGTAGTAAAATAACAAGGCAAAAGAATTTCCTTTCAAATCAGGCACATCAGTTCTAGCTATAAAACACAAAGACGAACGAACAAATCTTAACTATGCATCACAATGTCTTTCCTCTCATAAAACCTCAACGTTTAATAATACAAAATGCATACGAGCCCATTTCCCTTTTAAAGTGGAGTCGTGAAACATTTATGTGATAGCATGCACCATACATATATACAAGGCTCAATGAACTGGAGAACAAAAGCTTAGGGACGTGTCTTTGCTCAAGTTAACAAGAAACCTTTTTGTA